ATTCATAAAACACCATACCTGTCCAGTTATTAACGATGTTTATAAAATAAGCAGCACTGCGCGCACGCACAGCAATAATTGAGGAGTATTTTGTGGCCTCTTCTTCATAGCGTAGATAAATGTGTGATTTTTCCTAAACGGAGTATGCACGCAAGGCACGTAGGGCGCATAAGGCAACCAACACCATGCGCATCGTCCACTTCAGAAGCAACCGCCCCGTTGGTCACAAATGCAGCTGTGTTACAACCCTCAGATACACTGCAGCGACGACAATGAGAAAAAGGAGGAGATGACGTACCTGCATGCCCTATTTCAGACCAACAGTTGTCCAAAGTCCTTCGTACGCAAGTGTCTTAAGCAGCTCCACCTTCAGCGGTCGAATGCAAAGGAACCCTAGTTCTGGCTCCCAATCCCTTATGTGAAGAATGTATCGGAAGCGACTGCGAGAATCTTGAAACCATTCGGGATCGGTGTGGCTCATAAGCCGGAGTCAACCATAAGACAGCAGATCATGAGGCCCAAAGACCCACTACCATTGACAGAGCAATCGGCTGTGGTCTACAGCATACCATGCCAAAACTGTGATGCAAGTTAGGTTGGTGAAACGGGCAGGTGCCTTGGCACAAGGTTGCATGAACATCAACAGGCAATCAACCGCAAGGATAAGCTGTCTGTGGTTTATGACCACGCACAGCAGAAGAATCACGTTTTCACCTTTGACAGGAAGGCAAAGCAAACGCGAGAGTGGAATACAGCTGGCGTCAGAGGAAAATAGGGGAAGCCGGCCAGGAACCACGTGACCAGCGTGGAACACTACCGAGCCCACGGAATTGACACCACCTCACACGGGCAACCAGAACTGATCAGTCCGTCGGTCGATGAGGGGCAGGCCAGTCAGAACACTGACCTACGACAGCCGCAAAGGGGGCAAAGGTCACATGAGCCCACCAGCGATCAAACTCACTGTCAGTCAGCAGCAAACAGGCAGGTCAAAGTTCGTGCGTCGAGCACGGATATAATGCCAGGAATGCGGCAAGCCTGAAACAGTCAGGCAAACAGGACAGCCACCCAGTTACTCTGAAGATGGAACCGAGCGAGTGTCCGAAACGTCAGTCTCAAAATAAAACGGTCTACGTCCGCGTACCTCCTTCTTCCACTTCGTTGGGGGATAATGAAAAGAACGCGCTAAGTAATTTTGAGAGCCTAAATGTAAGTGTAACGGCAGGGCAGGGCCAAAATTATTTGGAAATCGTACAAGTTTTGTCAAACAAGAAAATCCTCTTTTCTACATCCTACATTGTAAAGAATTGATGTTTTGGTGCATTTTTTCTAAATAGTGAAAGGCATGGAAAATCAGCGGAAAAAATGCATACTGGTAAGTAGCCATTTTTGCCAGTGTAGACAGCTGAAAATAATTTCGTTCAAACGCCGTCATTCTGGTGTGATTGAAATATGTTTAGATGAGGTTACACGATAATTAAGACAACAGCATTACTAAATTAAGCCTTTCGAAAAGAAGACCCATTTGAGAAGTTCAGTTGATATCTCATCTAAAAACAAATCTACTGCCAATTTGGCCTTCTACTGGGAGTTATTCTCCACTTCACACCTTAAAAATTACTTTGTCGAAACAGACCTCAGAATGGCATCAAGAACAGAGCGTGCGCAGATTGAGAAGTTGTCACTGGTCAGACTGTTATAGGACAGACTTTGATCAATGTCGACCTCGAGGCCTCGCAGTTGGGAGCTTAGAGTCAAAAAGCCAGATCTAATGATGCGGTTGTAGAGGAGGAGAGAGTCCTCCAGTGGCGAAGGACTGAAGGTAAAGCTGGGGGACATCAAGTGCATTGACAACAGGCCTTCGAAGCAGGCTTTATGAGAACGGTCTGGAAGTGTGAAAAAGCGGGGCGGGGACAAGAAATGAGAATAAACAGGGATGAAATAGAGATTGACTAATGAATTAATGAGAATATCATCGAAAAAAAGGTCAAAGTCAGGGGGAGGGAAGCTTGAACATTGGACAGTACACTAACAGACTACTGCTTTTACTGCCATACAAATAGGGACGACGATAGGCGTTGAAGGGCTAACATTCACTGTAATGGTATGTCTATGTGAACCTGCATAGAAGCTTCGACTCATAAATATGCGCGAAGTACTGAATTACTTTCGTAATCATGAGGGCGGTAAAACACAAGAGGTCGAGGTCGAGCTGGAGCTCTGGTTGCAACGGGCACAATAATCTGTTAATTGAATATTTGGAGTCAAAAAGTTGTTCGTTCATTCCCAGCTGCGGTCGAGTTTCCTATTCCGCCGCTTTAGCTGTTTTACCATTCGCTCGCGCACCGGCAAGCGTATTCCGAGTCAATGACGTCGGTGGCTGATGTGCAGTGAGATACCCAAAGAAACCACTGCTAGTTTGCACGGTTTGCTGTTGGACTCCCTTCGGATACCACCGATTAGACTGAAATGCCGACAATCAAGACGAGATAAAAGGGGTAGAGCCTACCTCACTAAGATCATTCATTATTTAAGTTGGAGTATTTTTGAAAAAAATTGTTCTCCGGTACAAATTGAAAGCAGGCATAAACAGCAGGATTTATTGATATCAATAAAGTTCGCGACAGCTTCGCAGCTGCTACTTATCGCTTCATAAGAAAGATAACGCGGACACATAGAACAGTTGTGAATTTCACAGAATTACTGGCAACAGCAAGGAACGTGGGTCAGTTTAAGAAATAATTGATAAAGGACAGGACGTTAAGTCAACATATGAGAAGTATTGCGTGAGGGAAGTTAACGAAAAACACTTGGGAATTAAATTAAATGACCAATTACCAGGGTTGGCCAAATGGTTAAGCTGCTTGTATAGGTCAGGTTTCTCCCACCGTACGTATGCAGCTTCCAAATAGCGCAGGTTTCGGTTTGTTCAGGCATGAACAAGTACTCGAAACGCTGTTTTGATGTCGACAGAATGACCGCTGTCTAATA